GGAATGAGGGCAGATGCACAGAGCCAGGACTGTCCAGAGCATGTTCCAGTCCACATCTCACCCACCCCTTTCCTGCCATTCAGGCCGGGACACAGACCCAGAAACACCTTGAGGAGCTGCAGGAAGAGAACTTGGCTCTCAAGGCTGCACAGGGGCAGACTGTGGAGGAGTCCGCCCACCTGCGCTGGGAGCTGGACCAGCTGTCAGAGGGTAGGCAGCAGCCGCTGGTGCCGTGGAGCCAACCTGATTGAAGACTATTACACTTTAATAGATACCAAGGGCCTTCTCCAGGAGCAGCTGACTGTTCGGCTTCTCCCTAAGCCAGGGAGCTGAGCCCTTGGCTCTGAAACTCGTGTGTCAGCCCAAATAAATAGGGTTTTATTCAAGGGCCATTTGGAACTGTTTCATTGCAATTCTCTCCAAGAACATGAAGGGCCTGGCAGCCTTGAAGTCAGGACATGAAATGAAAAGGAAGTGCTGCCAGATTTCTCAGTTCCCATTCAGCTAGACACAGAAGCTTCCAAATGACAGCACGCTGACACCCAGAGGGTGTCTTAGATCTCTCCGTGGAGCACTGGATGCTCTGGATGCAGGAGACGTCCCCAGTGGTCACTCACCTCCATCATAGTTGTACCCGGGGCATGGTTTCCTCCGTTGATTTCATAATCTGGCAGATGGGTGTAGTCTGCTCTCCATCTTCCTGGGCAGGGGCTGCTCAGTGGCTGCTGTACAGGCGACCCAGGCCTCTTCCTCTCCCTCTGTTGTGTGTCCCCTCCCAGCCCCCAGAGGAGGTGTGGGGTTGGCCAGGGAAGGTGGGTGGGGCGGCCGTGCAGCAGAAGCCTCAGCACCCAGTAAACAACAAGCCAGTTCCTGTGTCCAACCATAGCGCGCGTGCACCTGTGAGTGCAGGTCAGGCTTTGCTTAGAGCTCTGCAGAGCCAGGAAGGTCTTTGGCTGGTTTTTCAATTCGGAGCAACATTCCTAAGCGTCATGGAAAGGCTGTTGAAAGCAGCTGGGTAGTCCTCTCTTCAAGGCATCCCATCTACTCCAATCCTAAAATCAGTTCATTGAATTATGAGTCTGTGTGAGAAGTTAGTTTTTTTCTGTGGTTTGGTGTCTCCTCACTCCTTGGAATCCAGGCTCTGGGAGTTCAGGTTCCTGGGGAACACCACTGCCCCCTGGTGGGACAAAGAAGTAGTGCTGGCTGGCAGGGACTGGCTCAGACCAAATGTGCTTGTTAGAAGCCAAGGTGGCTGATGGGGCTGGAAAGCTTCCCTGATTCAGATGCTCAGTGTAGCTTGTGAGCCCTTTCAGGTCGGTGACTGACTGACTTCTTGATGTTCCCAACTCCTACTGCTTAGCTGGAGGCTCACGAACAAAGTGTGAATGTACTTTTGTGTGGTTGGGGTGGTGGCTTCTTGAAACAGAAAGGCCTGGTTTAAAGTCCTGGCTCCTCTACTTGTTAGCCAAGTGACCTCTTCTGCACCTCAGTTTTCTTATCTGCAAAATGGGGGTAATGAAGCTGCCTCACAGGATTGCTATGAGTATCTTGTGAGAGGAGACAGTGAAGCGTTAGGCTGTGCCTAGCCCACGGGGCGCCAACAAAGGATAGCTGTTCTTATCGTCCTTGTCTTATCCAAAGATACCTTGTCTTATCCTTTTCTTATCTTACTTTGCTTCTTGGGGTGCTTGTGAGCAGCCCTACTAGCAGTACAGTGCGATAAGGCTCCCAGGGTTGAGTGTGTGGCCCTGGAGGGACAGGTGAGGGAATAACCCTGACCCCTCAGACATTCATGGTTTCCTCCTGAACAAGCCATGGGACTTATCCAAAGTCACGTACCTCCTGGTGGCAGCGAAGGGCCGCGAACTCCCATACTTCTCAGGTTGGGCTCCCTTTTCTGTTCTGCATTCAAGCTGTTTAAAAGCAACAGAGGAATTCTGCCTTTTTCTGGCTTTATCTTATTTTTAAAGCAATTTGGCTATACTTTCTCATTCTTTTTCTTTTTCTTTCTTAATTTTTGCTTATGAGAATCAACGGAAGAACTCGTCAAGGGAGGACTGGATCTCGCTTGGCTGAGAGGGTGGTGCGAGCTGACCCGTGGAGGACTCTAGAGCAGATGCAATCGGCTGTGGATCTAAGCAGGGTGTTAAGTCAACGTGGCCTTGTGGTGCACATGTCGAGACGTATGATGACAGGCTGAGTCGACTTATGTGCCTCTTAATGTCAGCTATTTCTTCCCAAATGTCCTTTAGGTCTCTCAAAACATGGTCTATCATTTCTATAATGACCTGAAGTTGGGGAGCAGATGTTTCAGGAGGTTTCTTTAACACGTCGATCAGCTGGAGAGGCGCGGTTCTAATGCTGCAGGCTGATTCTGCAGATTGAGTCTGGGCAACTGACAGCATGCCCTGTACTTGGCTAACTGTCTGCTCCATTATCTCAGGATTGAGTGGCACAGATTCTTGAGTAGTTGCTATCTCCATTATTTCCATTGTTTCAGATTCTGATATAATCTCTTTGTGTGGCTGGATCACTTGAGAACCTTTCCTTGTCTCCACTACGGCAGCATGTGCTATTTCTTGGGATAATTTGGTCTTCTTCTGTCTCCTGGCAGCTCTCGCTCTTGTCACTGGATTGGACATCGTAGTGGCTGGTCTCTAGTAGCCTTTCGGCAATTATCTCAAGGGCCCTAATGAGAACTCTCAATGACATTGTGTCCAGGTCTCATTCTTTTTCAATGCAATTGTGACAGTACAAAATGAAATCTCTGACTGAAGGAATTTACCCAGAGGTGGCAAGTACTGGGCATATGTGCCCCATAGCCTCTTCCACCCACAGACATGCAGGTCAATGATCCTGTCCCCTCTAAACCCTCGGCTGAGCCTCCCGGACTCCCACCACTCTGAGGCTGGCACGGAGAACACACTCTCTCTGCCATCTGTTAGTCTCTGCAATCCTTGACTTGATGGTCAGGTTACAACTTTGTAAAAAAGTGGTTCCAGCAGTTCCATCATCTTGAACTTTTGCATTGGCTTCTCTCTACCATCACCTGCTTTCTTCTTAAGCTCTGCTTGCTTCCCTAACAATCTCAGCGGAGCCAGCAGAGGGGCCATAACCGCCTGAGGAACCCTCAGGTGCAGACAGCAACAGCACCCTGGGAAAGAGGGAGGGCACCCAGATGACCATTCCGGCCCCCCAAACCTACGGCTCAGAGTGATGGCCGACTCAGGGCTGGGGACAGAGAGCAGAAGCTGAGGCCTCTGGAATATGGACTCTGACTCCACTTTACTCTTCAGCCTCCAGCTGCTTCCTGAAGCTGGACCAGGAGAAGCAGAGTCTCCAGGGCACCATCCAGGGGCTGCAGGACGCCTCCCTGGCCCTGCAGGAGAGCAGCCTCCAGCGCCGGGAGCTGGAGGAGGAGAACCAGCAGCTCAGAAAGCAGGTACCTGTGGGTAGTGTCCGGAACATACAGGCATGTAAGCACCCAGGTGTCGGTGAGCATGCGCAGCTGGGGGACAGACAGAGACCAGTGCAGCCACCGTTATGGTAGGGGGACAGGAGGCCTCCTGGAGAGGCATCACTAGGCAGCAGCAGGAGTCCCTGCAGCAGTGAGACTGCACACGATGGACCTCTGTGGGCCTCGCTGCCTTCATCTGTGAAATTGGGTTGCATTGCACCCACCTAGTAGGTGTGGTGAGGATGGTGTGAGTTAGTGCCGGCAAAGGGCCCAGCGCGTGGTAAGTGCCTCATGGAAGGAGAGCAGCGCCCTGTTAGAAAGCACCGGACGGGGTCCAAGTGCGGAAGCGGGCACACAGTTGCAGGTCCCTCACGCAGCGTCCTGCACCCCCAGCTCTGCAGCATTTCCGGTTCCACAGGGGGAGAATGTCACCTCGTGGCCTTGGCACCCTCCATCTGGATCCCTTCCCTTCTCTGAGCATCATGGGCTCCAGCCGCTGCTGCCAGTCGCTCAAGGACTCTGGTCCAGACGCCTGGCGGCGTCCTCTGGGAAGGAGGAGGTCCCCGCTGGGTCGCCTTGGGCCTGGCAGGAGGGCGCTGTCTGGAGAGACTGTCCTGGGCACTGAGGCCAGCGGGCTGAGGCCATTGAGGGGAGGGCGAAGGGCCACCGTGTTCCTGGTCGCCGGGCACAGGGACCCGTCGTTCAGGGCCACCTTCCAAGGCGGCCGCTGTGTCCGTCCCACGTCCCTCAGTCCAGGGAGGCCTCCGTGCTCCGCAGGCCAGTCCAGCTGGTGTTGGGCGCGGGGACGCCTGCTCCACAAGCCTCCCTGGGAGCAGTGGCTTTCATGGAGCGCCCGCCTCCGAGCTTGCGCACTGGGTTGATGCTGGTCAGAGGAGCGTGATGACATTTACTTAGGGACGCCTGGTTGCGGAGGACTTGGGCTTCGGAGAGTGCGCAGTGGGAGCATCAGGAAGACCCCTTGGCCTCATGTGGGAGGGCTGTGCTGAGAGGTGGCGGTAGCTGGAGCGGATCCCTTCCCGCCAGGCGGGGCCAGTGATAACAGTGAAAATCCCAGAAGGTAGGATGGCAAAGCAAAGCGGTTTGCATTTCTGAATCTCCAACATGGACTATCTGTTACTTAAGCAACGAATCTACTTAATGCAAAAAAACTCTTTGGAAGGCCCAGCAAAACCCAGTTTCCTCAGGAAGTAGCCATGCCTCCCAGGATGTGAGTCGTCATAGTCCAGCGTCATGTGGGCATTCAAGCCCGGCCTCTACATCTCCTCACAGACACGGAAGGGCCTGGATAACATGGCCCCATTACCACAGGCAATTGGGAGATCTCTCTCTCCTCCAGAAAACGTTCAGAAACAAGCAGTGATGAGACAGAGGCCATAGGGCGGGGAACGTGCTTCTCCACGGCTGGATCAGTCAGGATTTCCCCATCAGTTCAGTCACATAATCGTCGTTATCAAGAGTCTCCAAGCTCCCAATGGCGTCAAGACACACCGTCATCGCTGCGTCAACCAGGCAGAGCTCTCCTCCCTGCCCAGGAGCAGACACGATAGCCGTGAGCAGCACCCAGAGGACACGGAGATGGTCACTTCCATGAGGACAGGAACCACCTGGCTGGAGCCACGACCAGGACAACAGAAGAGGCAGCAGGAGAGCTGGGAAGGGGCTTCATCCCCAAACGAGCAAGTGTCCAAAGGACAGTGTTTTTATAGGGTCATCCTAGGCTGAATTGGTCTGGGAATGTTTCGTTAAAACTGTACAGAGCAGTTTTATAAGTTGCCACATTTCTTTATAAAATTTTTTAAACATATAGCTATCGTCTAATACAGAACTGAGAAGACTTGTGATGACAGCTTTTACATGGATAGCCTTTCACCTCAGGGCTTCATGCAGAGGAAAGGGTTTTATGCAAAAGGAAGTTCCACAATTCCTAATCGTTTTAGAAATTGAGGAAGGTGCGTGTTCTATGTATTGGTTGTATCATAAAGAAAATATTTTAATGCTCTATTATCTATTGTATTGCAAGAACCTGCTTATTAGTGAATCACATTTTGTGTATATAATAGAAAACATTCAAGTTGGTAGTCTAAAATACAGTAGTATTTTGTTAACAAATGAGAAAATGTCACATCAATGATTCATTTTACTAACATTTGAGAAAGATTATTGGTGAAGTTTGAGATAAATCATATTGTTTAACTTCATAAAGTATGTAAGTTTAAGTTCTGTGACATGCTCTTTGAGTTTTGCCCTAATTGGTTATCAGGGTATGTGTGCAAGGACACATTTTATTATATGGATTATGCATGTTGTCTTTCTGTTTGAACATTTGAATGAGTTAAGTCTTATACACTTTCTAGTTTTAAAAATTTTAAATCCTGTTAAAGCTTTTATGTATCAAGATGTTTCCCTTTAATTTTAGAACTAGTTTATAAAGGATTTATTTGGATCCTGTTTAATAACTACAGCATTTTGTACTGTTACTTTTTAATATATTGAAAACATAAAACAAACAAACAAAGAATAAAACAGAAAACAGTGGTGGGTCCCAAAGGGAGGCAGCGATGGAAGACACGCTCCCGTGTGGAGACCGTGGATGGGCCGTTTCAGGGCATGGCTGCTGGTGACAGGAGTGCAGTGCTCACTCTCTCCTTTCGGTCGAGGGGATGGGGAGGAAGAGATGGCTGGACGACATTGCCTTTCTGGACAAACCAGGTCTTCCCAGTAGCGCAGTAGAAGAGACATCCAGGAGGACAGGCAGGCTCACCAGCCAGGTTCATCCTACAGTTACCAGGACCCCATTCACATGGCAAGAAGGGCCCTGAGAGACTAGCGACGGCCTCCCTGAGCAGGTCATTCTGGGTCAGAGGGCCTCAGTCCATGTAGCCACCGTGGGTGACACAGCTGCGTCGTGGGCTCTGAGCACACCGTGACGGGTGCCGGGATTCCGGATGAGGGACGCTCAAGGGCACTCCTGCTTGCTGACCCCCTGGCAGGACTGATGCTTTCAGGTGTCTGGGTGTCTGTCCCGACCGGCCCAGGGGTCCTGCCAGCGTCATTTGCTGAGGCTGCCCCGGCAATGGCAAGGACATGGGCTGCAGACCAGAGACCTGGGTCCCGCTGGTCACGGCTCTGCTGGAACTTCATCTCTGGGTGAGGCTTGGGACCGCCCCTTCTCCTGTGCAGTGGTTTCTCCAGGCCTCTCATGGGACGTCCAAGGTTCAGTGACTCACGCTTCTCGTCCTTTGAGGCTCCGTGCGCCTCGCAGCAGAGCAGCTGCCAAGCAGTGTGTCCTCTCCCTGGGGGCCGGGAGGAAGCCCCTCCTCATGCCGCGTCTCTCTGTGCAGCGCAGCTCAGGGAAAGCCACCGGACAGTCTGGGTTTCAGATTCATGTGGGCCGGGCACAGTGAATGTCTCTGTAAATGGCAGCCCGACCTTGGCTGAGATAGAAAGGCTTGACCTTTAGAAAGATGAGAACCTCCAATGGGGCGGGTCCCCAGGGGTGAGCTGCAGAGGCCTGCGCTGTAGCCTCTGGCCCAGCTCCCGGCAGGGATGAGAGATGACCCCTGACACTTCTCCTGTCCTGGAGTCCACTCCAGTCCCTCCTCCACACACACAGGACAGGTGGTGGCTGCCGCCTCCCCACATGACTCCTTAGCCCTGTCTATCGGGTCCCATCCCCCACTTTCTCTTCATCAGTTCCTTGTAGGACTCCGGGCAGTCCTGCCACAGCCCTTGGGAGGCCTGTCTTGGCTCCGAGCCCCTGGTGGGAGGAAGGGGCTTCCTGTCCTGCTCAGCCCGCTCGGGGCCTGGCTGCATCACAGTTCCTCCCTCATGTTGGATCGATGGTGCATCTGGGCCATCAGCTAAAAACCACAGGGGACATGGCCTTACATTGACCTCCCTGGAGCCACGACAGGCCCAGCCTTGGACACGTCCAGACAACATGGCCCTCTGGGAGGTGTCAGAAAAGGAGGGACAAGGGTCAGCCAGGACAGGTGGCCCAGAGTCCCAGGCCCCCCGGTGCCAGCTTGGCTCTCCCACCACCCAGTGTCGCCCAGGCTGTAGGCTCCCTTCGGTCTGTGTAAACCTTAGTTCCCGAAGTTCACGTCCTTCCCTGTAACTCACGACCCTTCTGTGGACCTTAGAGAGGGTGCGTCCCCCACCCTCACTTTGCACTGACATCTAAGAGTTCATTCCTTCAGGCAGGAGTCCTGGTTTTGAGAGGAAGAGGGGCAGCACTTTGGGGCCTATCGTGGGAACACAAGAGCAGCACAGGGACTGATGAGCAGACCCCTGACATCCGAGTGCTCTGGGGAATTGGAGCCTCCCCACAGGAGCCCTCGGCCCAACCCTGGTGCTTTGAGGAGGATGGAAACCCATCTCAGCCTAGTGAGCTCTCCCTAGGGGAAGGGAGGGCCTTCATGGAAGGACAGGAGTGAGGACTCCAGTTCCATGGCAAAAAGAAGCAGAGAAGATGGGGGTGTTCAGCGGGGGTGTCCAGCCAGGGGGGGGGGTGCGTGTGTACAGGGGGCAGTCACATCTTCAGACCAGAAGCTGCCACACCAGATATGCAAAGGTTGGACATAACATTCCTTTCACTGGGACAGACGGGGTGGCAGGGGAGAAGGATTAACAGTAAGATGGTGAGGGGGGAAGAAGGCGGGAGGCATGGGCCACAAACCCCAGGCTCCATCTGAGAGAGCAGGCCTGGGGTCGGACCACTGCCCTGCGTTCGCTTTGCCACATCCTCACTGTGGGCCTCTGGGCAGATCACTGGACTCCCTGGGCCGGTGCCCTTCTCTGAATGAGGGTGAGTGACAGCTGTGCAGGGCCTTCCTCCTCAGGGCCGGCTCCAGAGCAGGCGCTGCCATCAGGGCAGATGCCTGCTTCCTGCTGAGCCCAGACCTGGTGCTAGGAAGTGGGGCAGCGATAAGGAAGGAGAAGAAAGATATTCTCACTTGTGAGAAAGACTCAGACACATGGCACCTTGCAGCGCCTTTTGCTGTTGGCCCTGGCTGGTGGGGCTGCCCAGTCCTCGGGTCCCCATGTTGGGGCAGGGGGCTGGGTGTGACCACAGGGTGCTGTGAGGGCACGGATATGAGCCCCACTGTGCCTGACCCTCCCCCTCATGGGGAAGAAGCTGCCTGCCTGCTGCTTCTGAGGAGTCTGGAGACTGTGCCCAGACCTGTGAGACAAAGGCAGGGCAGCCTCGGCCCAGGAGAAGTAGGCAGAGCTCGCATTAGAGAAGCAACCTTTCTGGGAGTTTGTAAACCTGCCTGTGCCAGGCCGCTCCCAGCCAGGTGAATGGAGCCGGCTCTTGGTCCTGCTGCTCACTGGGTCGCTGGTGTCTGAAGGTCCTGCCCTCAGAGGTTCTAGTCTGTGTCCTGCGGTCTGGGGTGTTTAAAAGCTCTGAGAGCCTCCTGATCTGGATCATGGGCTCCTCTCTTTTAGCTTTAGAGCCGTCAACCCAAACGAGCATCAGGGTCCCAAGTCCAAATGCAGGCTCTTGGGCCCCAGCCCAGACTGACCATGTCAGAAGCTCTGAGGGTGGGAGGGGCCTGGCACTCTCAGGAGGGGTCAGGTCTTGTTGTACCTTCCACCTCCCAGGTGTGAGATGAGCACGTCACCCTGACACAAGCTGGCGCCCATGCCTGCTGCTTGCTGGCCCTGTCAGTTATGGAAATGCACTCATGGTCACATTGTTAGCAGGGAGCCACCCTCTCCCCCTCCCAGGTGGTCATGAGTTTGCTGTCAGTGGGAAGGGACAGCACCATGGGCCTCGCCTGGGAGTCGCACCTCAGGGCCCACCCTGAGTCTGAATCTGCGTCCATCACGGTGTTCAGGTGTCAGGCACAGAGTGTGAGACCTGCGGGTCCAGGCAGTTCATGTTCAGGGAGTGGGCACCGGTGGGTCCCGCAGAAGTGCTCTGTGACGGGCCGCTGATTGGGCATCGTCCAGGCAGGACGGAGAGGGTCTGGCCTGGGCAGCAGTGGGGTGTGGAGGGGGAGCCACATGGGGAACGAGGACAGTCTTTGGTGGTCCATTTACTTGGAGGGGAGAGGAGGGAGAGAGATGGCGGAGGACCCCTCAGAGCAGCTGGATGAATAGGAATGTCACCAACTGGGTGAAGCCCAGTAGGACATCCAGTGGTGGCTGCTGGCCCCAGGAATGTGGCCTGACCCTCAGGACAGTAGTGGACACGGCCTAAGATGGAAGCATTGAGAGTGAGCAGTGGAAAGCTGGGAGGGAAGCTGACCGATTGGTGTCCATGGCCTTTTTCTCTACCATGAGCTGGAAGTACACACCATGGGCTGAGAGGTGATGGTCTGGGTGTGGGGAGCTCACTGTGCAACTAGGCCTGACCTGGGCAGCGGCTCAGGGATGCCACCCAGGAGCCAGGCTTCTCCCTTCCTGCTCTGCAGTCTTGGCAGTGGCTGAAGTACTTCCCCAAGAAGTGGGACGGAAGGTTTTCCCTTGTTAAAAGGTCTTATAAAGTGTTCCCTGGGGCTGACAGGTTTTGGGTTTGCTTTAAAACACAGTTCACTCCCTGAAACGGACTTTTGCATGGGCTGGGTCTTTGGCTCCGCAGATTGAAGACTTGCGAGTCCAGATGGAAAGAGAAAAGCAGACCAACCAGGATCTGGAGATCCTCAGTGAGGAGCTGATGGAGGAGAGAGAACAGCTGCTCTGTGACATAGAGACCCTGAAGGCTGAGAGAGCCCAGGAGGTAGGCCCTCCAGTGCCCATGCCTCCTCTGGCACCCCTGCCTGCAAGACGGAGAGTCCAGGATCATAGGATGTCCTGGGAATCCAGCAGTGATTCCCGGGTTACCAGTTTCCTCATCAGCTGCAGTCAGACCAGCAATTACAGCCACGGAAAGGGGAGGGGCCAGGGACAGTTATTGCCTCCAGGGACACTGGCAATCTTGTTTTTGATTGTCATGACTTGGGGGAGGAGAGGGGAGGTGCTCCTGGCTGTGGTGGGAGAGGCCAGGATGCTGAAAATGTCCTGCTGCACACGGGACAGCCTGCAGGACAAAGAAACATCCCACTTGAAATGTCCAGCATCACTGAGAACCCTGGCAACCTCCAGGGTTGATCCACCTCACAGTAAAACAAGTCCCAGGGTAGGCCTCCCAGTGCTGGGTCAGGGGCTCAGGGATGCCACTGAGGTCCCAGGCTTCTCCCTTCCTGTTCTGCAGTAAATCAGAAGAAGCCTTAATCAATAAGCCAAATTTATTTGGAGTCCTATTCATTTTTGCTAGCCCTAGCAGGCCCAGAGGAACTCTTGCTTCTCAAATTCTGGAGCCCAATATGGTGGAAGTCTTTTCAATTTATATGTTTTTCAGCTCTTTGTTTTCCAAATTTAGAATGAGACTTCAGGACCTTCTGAGAAAAAGTCCTGTTTGCTTGGACAGGGCCATGAGACCATATCTCAAGGCCTGGCCAGGTGCCAGCACTGACAACTCTGTCTGGGGCATAGTTTATGTCCTCTCTGGAGTGGGGAGTAGTCTTATTTCCCTATTATTTAAGCAAGCAAACGTTTAGAGTAGCAGGGTTAAAGTTTTAAACAGCAGTTTTTACCCAAGATGGAGGTTACTATACTTCATAAAGTGTTCTGTGGGGCTCACAGGTTTCGGGTTTGCTTTAAAACACAGTTCACTCCCTGAAACGGACTTTTGCATGGGCTGGGTCTTTGGCTCAACAGATTGAAGACTTGCGAGTCCAGATGGAAAGAGAAAAGCAGACCAACCAGGATCTGGAGATCCTCAGTGAGGAGCTGATGGAGGAGAGAGAACAGCTGCTCTGTGACATAGAGACCCTGAAGGCTGAGAGAGCCCAGGAGGTAGGCCCTCCAGCGCCATGCCTCCCCTGGCACCCCTGCCTGCAAGAGGGAGAGTCCAGGATCATAGGATGTCCTGGGAATCCAGCAGTGATTCCCAGGATACCAGTTTCCTTGTCAGCTGCAGTCAGACCAACAATTCCAGCCACAGCAGGGCAGGAGGGGGGGCAGATATTGCCCCCAGGGACACTGGCAATCTTGTTTTTGATTGTCATGACTTGGGGGAGGAGAGGGGAGGTGCTGCTGGCTGTGGTGGGAGAGGCCAGGATGCTGCTAAATGTCCTGCAGCACATGGGACAGCCCGCAGGACAAAGATCCCCCTTCAAATGTCCAACTTCATACTCAGAGCCCTGGAGAACCTCCAGGGTTGATCTGCCTCACACTACAGGAAGTCCCAGGGTAGGCAGCCCAGTGCTGGGGGAGCAGCTCAGGGACACCACCCAGAAACCAGGCTTCTCTCTTCCTGCTCTGCCAGTCTTGGCCGTGCCTGTTGTACCTCGTCAAGAAGTGGGCAGGAAGAATGTGGAGGGTAAAGAGACAGAGGGAAGGCCTCCTGGGATCCTCTGTGGACATCTCATTGGCCACACCTGACACATGACTAACCCTAGCTGCAAGGGAGGCTGGGTATCAGGTACTTGAGTTCTTCACCCTCAATAGAGCAAAAAAGGGGGCTTGGGGTGGTGCTGTGTATACATAAGAGACATGCATCCACCCTCCCCTGATACACCTTCCAGTCTAGCAGGTTGAATGATAGGTGACAAGCCAGGTGTCTTCAGACCTGTGCTATTGAGGGAATATACGTGGGTCCAGGGAGAGTCTTATTAGGTGCAGGACATTTAGAATCATGGTGCAGGGCTTCCCTTCGGTGCAGTCAATTACACTGAGCCCTGGAGGATGAGAAGGAGCCAGAGAAGCTGGAGGCTGGGGGTGGAGGCAGGTGAGCATTCACAGCAGAGGGAAGATCATGTGCAATGCCTGCAGGGGAGAGTGGTGTGAGGAGCGGCCACAGGGGTGGGCAGTCAGCTCTCGGGCCACTGTGGACCAGGGTAAAAAGCAAAAGGAAATCACTTTCATTGTTTTAAGAGAAGATGCGGTTTCTGTTTCTAAGTCATCTGGCTTCTGTGAAAGTGTTTAGACTTGAACTGTCTGGGTGGGGATCTCCATGCCCTTCACCTTGTGTCCATATCAGGCCTTTGGGAAACGTTAGGACGTCCTTTGGGTCCATGATGAGATGAACATTCCAGGCCTACACTTTGGGCTCCCAGTTTGGACTGAAATCACGCCTGTGTCCTTTCCATTGTGTTTTCCTGCAGATCAAGGATCTTGAACAATTGGAGCTTTCGCTACGGGAGAGTTCACAGGCCAGCAGTGAGGCCTGCTTGCAGGACATCGAGAATGAGAACAAAGTCCTCCACCAGACAGTGATGGAGACCAGCAGCAGAGTCAGCAAGCTGGAGTGGGAGCGGCAGCAGCTGCACCAGGATCTGGAGCAGGTGAAGGAGCAGGCGGCACGGGTGCAGGAGCTGGAGCAGGAGCTGCATCGGCTGCAGGAGGAGAACGAGAAGCTGGCCATGGAGGTCAGCACCCTGACGACGGCCCCCGAAAGGGTCCATGCCCTGGAGCGGGAAAGCCAGGACCTGTTGCTGGAGAACCAGAGGCTGCAGACGTCTCTGGACACCCTGCAGCCTGAGGGTCTGGAGCGGGACAAGCAGCTGGACACCAGGGTAATTCTGGCCTCAGAATGAGTTAGGACGGTTCCTCCCTGGTCAACTCTCTGGTGCTTTGAATGCGGTTGGATGGGTGTTGTGAAAATATTGGTTAATTGGGTTGGTATTGCTGTTCAGGTTCTCTATGTCCTTACTGATTTTCCATGTACTTTTCAAAGTGGTCAGAGAGGGTACCCAAGGAGGTTATCCAGAGAAAGGGCATAAATTGCTCAAGAAAAGTCACATGTGTAGACAGGTGCCCAGGACTAAGCTTAGGCCCATGTGACAGTCTGTTTCTGCCGTGGGCCTTCCCAGAGCAGTTCCTTGAGTGCAGGTAGAACTGTCCTCAGCACGGCTGGGTTTTGCCAGTCCCGAGGGTCCTGCTATTTTTGTGTCAAAACTTGACCTTCTCTTGGCCCTTCCCTGTGTGGGAGGATGTGGGGATCCGGGGATCCGGAGTTTGTGGTCCCCCTGGGCCTGAACCTGGTGAGGATCATCCCCTTCTCCCTCCTGGAAGGTGGAAAATTCCACTCTGAGCCCCCAGAGCGCCTCGCTCACTGCGCTCATAGAGAAGAACACGCAGCTCCAGCACCAGCAACTGGCGGCAGCCCACGAGGCCCTGCAGCGGGAACACGCGTGCCTGGGCGCGCTCCATGAGCACCTGTCTGGGGAACACGAGGCCCTCATGGATGAGTACAGCCGCCAGAAGACACTGCTGCGACGGACCCTGGAGCTGGAGAGCAAGGTGCTCAGTGACAGGTGGGTGCCTGCGGCTGGGGGTGACTAACCGGCTCCCCGGGCTCCTGTCCCCCCTTCACTCTGTTCCCTCATGTTTCCTCTGGTCCCGCTGCTTCACAGTGAAGAGAAGTAAATCCACCATCTCCCTCAGCGATGTGGAGTTGGTGCGGCTGGAGACTGAGGGGCAGGAGGGTCCCCCAGGGGAGAAGGGTGTGCCCACTAATCCCGGCTCAGGGAAACCAGGTGTCAGCATTGGCGTCCCAGCTCCCCTGGGCATTCCTACCCCCTCTTCCTTTTCTCTCCAAACCAAGGACAAGGACGGGAAGTCACCACAGCTGCCGATGTTCAGGGGCGTGCCTTACCGAGCTCCCCAGGCCTTTTCCCTGTATGTCTCAAAGTCTGGGCTTCTGAATTTCTTTTTTTACTTTTAATTTTGGAAACTTTTGAATATATGGACGTGTACAGAATAGTATAGTGAAAACCCGGTATTCCCCTCACCTGCAGCAGCATTACCAATACTCGGCCATTCTCATGTTACCTTTACCTCTGACTCTTCATACACCTTTTTTTTTTTTTAAAGTAAAATTGATGTACCTTAAATGCATAAATCTTAACTTTGGGCTTTTGCCAAATCAGGGCTTTGTGTGCATGTAGTCACCCAACTTCGGCCAAACTCCTGCCCAGCAGATCCCTGATTAGAATGGCCCTGGGAGGTACAGCGGGACTCAGAGCCTGGGGGAAGTTAGATGTACAGAGGACTCCAAGATGGGGGGGCAGGGGATGAGAGATGCAATAAAGAGAGGCTCTCCCACACTTGGAGCAGCACAGGAGTGAGCTGTCCACCTTCTGTGCTTGTGAGTTGTCCCTGCTGAGTACTTCCCTTGCCTCTGTCTCAGCAGATGCCAGGCAAAGGCTGGGACTTCCCTAGGAGCAGGTGAGGTGCAGGGATTTGGCATCACAGGGACCAGGGAGGGCGCTGAGCCTGCAGAGCCTGTGGAGGGCGCCTGCTGCTGCATGAACTTGGGGGCAATGATGTTCATTTACGCACTCACCCAGTGCTGTATGTGGACTCTCTGCAGAGCCTTCCACCCCTTTCTCCACCCAGATTCCCTTCCTTTGGGGGTGCCGAGACGTCTGCTCCTATCAGACTCTCATTCCTTCCCGCCAGAATGAGTATCTTCTGCCTCTTGGCATCTCCTTCTCTGCCTCCTCCGCACCCATCCTGTGTTCACGACACGCTTAGTGAGCACCCACTGGGCGCCTGGTGCTGTCTAACGTGGTGGGAATGCACCCAGCTGACTACTGATGGGAGCCTCCTGTGGTGCCCACCCCGCACCAGGCGCTGCGGGCCTTACCCTCAATGCCCTATGATAACCGTGTGGATATATTCTTTTTTTTTTTTTTTAATATATTTTATTGATTTTTTACAGAGAGGAAGGGAGAGGGATAGAGAGTTAGAAACATCGATGAGAGAGAAACATCGACCAGCTGCCTCCTGCACATCTCCTACTGGGGGTGTGCCTGCAACCAAGGTACATGCCCTTGACCGGAATCGAACCCGGGACCTTTCAGTCCGCAGGCCGACGCTCTATCCACTGAGCCAAACCGGTTTCGGCAGTGTGGATATATTCTTCTGTCTGTTCACGTGGGAAGGTTTGTGCAGGTGGCATTTGACTGCTCTGAGGGAGGAGTTCATTGTTCGGCCTGTGACTCCTTGCTTGGTGGACCGCCTGTGTGATTCAGTGGTTTTTGCTGGTTGGACAGATAGCAGGAGGCCCTTGGTGTGTCTGCAGCATGGCTGCAAGTTGTAGGTGGAGGTGCCTGGAACACAGGCCGTGGGCTCTGTATTCATTTCACCTGACACTTGACTGGGACACTCACTCCTTCATTCCCCTGGCGCAAATGCACTGGGTGTCAAGCCTAGTACCAGGGATTCAGTGGGGAGTAAGACTCCCAGTTTCTGCCCTGCAGTAGGCTGGTTACTAATGGTTGCGATATGCTTGACCCTGTGCTTTTCCAAGACACAACAAGGAAGCAGGAGGTGGGGACCCTAATGGTCCGTGGCCCTGTTTCTCAAACCTGGATGAGAAAGATCGCCGCCCTGAAAGCCCAGCAGAGCCCCCACCCCCACCTTCCACATCCCACGTCCTGTCCTGGCAGTCTCCACCCATGGCTAAAGGCCACACAAAGGAACGTTTGTCTTCTCACAGCGGACCGAGCAGTTGTCTGAGTTTGAGTACCCACAGGTCTTGGCTCCAGGCAGAGGTTACAAGTACAGCTGATATGGGGTCAGGGGAGGAGGGGCGGGTGAGGATGGAGTGCTGAGGGCAGGGGCTGAAACCATGGAACCTGGGTGGTCTCTGTCAGCCTGTCTCTGGGTGTGGACACCTCTGGAAGGAGGTCTGGAAAGGCATTTGCCTGCCTGGGGAAGATTGAAAGGTGATGACTCAGTCTCCACCTTGGACCTAGGGGGTCCACCCGAGTCACCCTGAACAGGGAAGATTCCTGCAGGAGGAGGAACAGCCTGGGACTGGTCAGGGGCTCCCTCTTGTGCTCTGCTGCCCTCCAGAGAGGCTGTGCGGGACCCTCTGCAGACTGAGACAGGAAGGAAATAAAAGCCCGAGCTGAGGGGGAGGCTTCGGGAGGGCGAGGGCAAAGGCTGGACTGGGGTTGCCTTGAGGAGCAGGGTGTGCAGCTGCCCCTGGTGACTGCTTGGGCCCCACCAGGCAAGCCTCTGGCCCCCAGGCTGCCTGGCTCAGAGCAGGAAGAGTTGTGTTCCTGAGCTGGGGCGGAGGGCTCACCCAGGGCCCGGTGAGGGGGATCAGCTGTTATGGGCAGTGGAATTCCCCTGTATGTGTTGTGGTTTCTTTGAGAAGCGTGTGGAGTTCAGAAAACAGTGGTTTTGTTCCCAGTGGGATGAAGGATGGAGGCTGTTTTGACAGGGTCTGGAAGGGACCATGGAGACACCTTGGGTGGGAGGAGGGGTACTTGGCTCCTGGGCTGAAGGAGACCACCCCGAGCTGGCCCAGTGTCTGTTCCTTCTCTCCATCCAGCCTTGTCCCCTGCCCATCACCCTCTCCCTCAGCTCTACAGAGAGAAGCTGCTCACCCAGGCTTTGAGGTCTCCCTGGGTGCCCATTCCTAATGGGTGTGTTTTCCTTCAACAGATACAAGGACCAGATCCAACATAAGGTGGCGCTGGAGCAGCTGGGGACCCTCTTGACCACCGAGCAGGAGGCTCTGCAGCAGGAGCAGAGGACGAGCGCCATGGCCGCCGAGGAGAACCAGAGGCTGCAGGGAGAGCTGGACAGGTAACCTCCAGGCCCCCTGCAGCACCTCTGCCCGGATGTCAGTCTGACCCACTCACTCAGCACCCGCTGAGCTGAGCTCAAGTGAGACCCCTGGTGACGGTGCATTTTTACCAACCCTGCCCTGGACGCAGCTGGTGGGCAATGAGGTAAAGGGGACTCCAGCTGGTGGCCGGAACGAATAACTCGGCAGCTGGGATGGGGCATTGTCTAGGTTTGGACAACCTCCCCTCCCACAGTTATGATGCTGATGACTGTTGGGCAGGGGCACCTGCATCCTCTAACACCAGCAATCCTGTGAGGGAGGGATGCTCGGTCTCAGCATTCACACATTCCCATTTGTGAATTCACCTCCTGGATGAACTGTACTGGTGACCCCCAAATCAGTGCCCGTGGCCTGTCATGGACGTGCCCAGTGTGGGAGATACTGGAGTCGCCTGATGTGCACATTTGCAGCTGAGGTTGAACAAGGCCTTTGACCCCAGCCTTTTTTCAGCTCTCACCTACCATCCTCCCCTTCATGGGCCATTGAGTGCCATGGTATTCATTTTTGTGCGTTTTGGTGATGATTTCGCTGTTTGAAATGGCTCCCAAATGGAGTGCTGAAGTGCTGTCTAGTGTTCCCAAGCGCTGGGCCTTACGGGGAATGTACGAGTGACACTCAAGGGTCATTTGGACCCAGGTATGGTGCTTTTGGCTCTGAGTGTATTACAGGAGGCGACTTTGTGTCTTGATCAGCTGACACAATGTGACCAGAGACTCCCAAGAACCGGTGGGAACAGGTTCAGTATTCACATTATACTGTGAATCATGATAATTGATTGAGCTATTGTTATCTTTAAAAAAAAACCCAGAGCAACAGAGGAGAAAACAGGCTCAGGGAGATTAAACAACTTGTTGAAGGTCAATGCTCCTAGTTAGTGGCACAGGCAGGATTCAAATCCAGGTCTTGCCTCAACCTAGAGGCTTGACCACATGAAGCCTTCCTTCCCACAGCCCTGATTTAACATGTGCTGTGGGGCTGTAAACTCAGCTGCCTGCAGTGGCCGGGCAGGTCCAGCAGGTGGGGAAGGAGAGTCAGCAATAGACCAGGCCCTGGTGGAGAATACACCCAGCTAGAGGCTGTCAGCTGGGAGGCAGGTCTGGCTGCCAGGTCATCCTTCTTTATGCTTTTTTTTTTTTCTGAGAAGAAGATATCTGAATGTTGATGGAAACTTAAAATTTTGGAATGCTGGTACAATAATTATTTTTTTGTTGTGTTTGTTTTTCAAAAATATCTGCTTTGTTTGGGCAGGACAGAGGACCAGGAGCAGTGGTTCTCAACCTTCCTAATGCCACGATCCTTTAATACAGTTCCTCATGTTGTGGTGACCCCAATTTCATTGTTACAAATTGAACATAATTAAAGCATAGTGATTAATCACAAAAACAATATGTAATTATATCGGGTGTCCCAAAATTCACGCAAGATATGCAACTCAATTCAATTGCAAATCTTGCGTGAATTTTGGGACAAGCTATATGAGTGTTTCTGATGATATTAGGCGACCCCTGTGAAAGGGTCCCGACCCACAGGTTGAGAACCGCTGAGTGGGAGGACCTGGAAACATGTCTGAAGCCAGGGGCCCTTAAACCTAAACCGGCAAGTACTTACAGAACCACAACAGAGATTCTTTTTATCTTGTTCTGTTTCCTTTCTTTATGTTATTTTATTTTTTTAGTTGACTTTATTGGAGAGACTTGAATTAATAAAACCACACACACTTTAAAATGAAATAAAATAGAATAAAATAAGTAAATGTTAAAATTTTTTTAAAAAGCTGTGTGGGCCAAATTTCACACACCTGTGTTCAAATTGAGTCCATGAGCCTCTGGTCATATGAGCTTTTTGGTATAAATCTTCCCCAGGAATCCCAGTCTGGTAATGATGATGATGATGATAATTTCAGTGGATTTAGGTAACACTCCAGAATTTCCTATTTTATTTAACTCAGTAGTTGAAATTAGAAAGGGGTTGGATTTTGGGGAGAAGAGCTAGATATAGACATAGAGTCTTAGAGCAGAAATGTTCTGATTCAGTGTTTAAGTGTCTCAATCAAAGAACTCTTTTTCTAAG